GGTAGAGTCGGTATCGTACCTGTCCAGCCGGGGTAGAGTCGGTATCGTACCTGTCCAGCCGGGGTAGCAGCGACAGAAGCCGCTCACCGGGTCACAGCCGTCTGCGTGGCCACAGTCGCAGCGCTCGCGACACTCCAGGCCGTAGGTGCCGTCCTGTGGCAGAAACACGGGAAATACCTTTAGAATCAAGAATAATTGTGCTTTGATTGTGGAATAAAAGTTGTACAAATGGTGCTGAATGTGGCTGGTTCTGTTTTCTTGTTGTGATGGAGTGAGGCTTCTCCAGGGTCCAAGGTCCTGCATGAAAAGTGTTATGTGTCTGTTTGACAAAGATACTATACTACTGAACAAATCTACTGCTGCTACTACTACTGCTGCTACTACTACTAATACTGCTACTACTTCTACTACTGCAACTACTACTATTACTACTTATACTACTACAACTACTAATACTATGACTTCTGCTACTATCTCTACTAATACTACTACTACTAATACTTCGACTACTACTACTACTTCTACTATTTCTACTATATCTGAGAGGTTCCAGTGCATCTAAGTTCATGAAAGCAGTTTTTGCCAAAGTGATATTTTTAGCGTAGCGTCCCTGTCCTGGTTCACACTGCACTCTGTAAAAAAAGGATTGCGACCGCAGCTTTGTGTTAAAGTGATTTAGAAGCTACGTAAATCTGCCACAAGCACCGGGACGGACAGGGGGGACAGAGAAGAGGGACGGACAGGGGGGACAGAGAAGAGGGACCCGTCCCAATACCCACACTGCACCCTTCGCCCTCCTATGAAGTGTGCATTTGTTTGAAGTGCGCGCAAGGGTTTGAGTGCGCAGGTTGCAAGCGTGCACAAAAGGCGGAATTGGGACAGTGCACACTGAGAGCAGGTGACGTCATCGACTCGTCAGAGATGGTCATTTTCAGACCTAAACTTTTTTTAAATTAAAGGTAATTTATATAATAATATACATGTATTAAACACACGTTAAAATACATGTATATTAGTTGTTTTTAATTAGAGATAGCTGTATAATTTTAAGTTAAATGTGGGTAACTAACTATCTGGTCAGTTTTTATACATTCTAAGATTATTGTACTAAGTGTAAAGTTTAAATTGAATGTTATATAAACGCTTGTTTTAAAAAGTTATTAAATTGTTAAAACACAATGTCCGTAATTCTTCATCAGACGTTTATGCTTCTTTCCAAGTAACAGCAAAACTTATTTACACACATACTGCATATATATTTCAAAATGTATATTTAAATGCATTTTCCCAACGTTTTGGTGTGTACCGCAAAGAATTATGGGCAATATCCTTCGCCAGAGTGCGCATTGATGCAGGCTACGGCGAAGTGTGGATCAGGGGCGCAAAGGGGGCGGGGCCAAAGACCTCCCTGGAGAATTGGGACACCCTACGCACTCGCACACTTTATCGGGAACGCGCAAATGAGGGGCGCGAGGGTGGAAGTGCGAGTGTTGGGACGGGGCCGAGAAGAGGGACGGACAGGGGGGACAGAGAAGAGGGACAGACAGGGGGGACAGAGAAGAGGGACAGACAGGGGGGACAGAGAAGAGGGACAGACAGGGGGGACAGAGAAGAGGGACGAACAGGGGGGACAGAGAAAAGGGACGGACAGGGGGGGACAGAGAAGAGGGACGGACAGGGGGGACAGAGAAAAGGGACGGACAGGGGGGACAGAGAAGAGGGACAGACAGGGGGGACAGAGAAGAGGGACTGACAGGGGGGACAGAGAAGAGGGACAGACAGGGGGGACAGAGAAGAGGGACAGACAGGGGGGACAGAGAAGAGGGACGGACAGGGGGGACAGTGAAAGGGGACGGACTCACGGGGCAGGACTCCTGGCAGTGGGGGCCTCTCCAGCCTGAGGAGCAGGTGCAGGAGCCGTCCAGAGGGTCACAGGCTCCGTTCACACAGAGACAGCTTTGGTTACAGCCCAGACCCCACAGACCACTGGGACAGAGCAGGGAGCAGTCCACACCTCTCCAGCCTACACACACACACACACAGACACACACAGACACACACACACACACACACACACACACACACACACACACACACACACACACACACACAGACACACACACACACACACACACACACACACACACACACACACACACACACACACAGACACACAGACACACAGACACACAGACACACACACACACACACACACACACACACACAGACACACACACACACACACACACACACACACACACACACACACACACACATACACGTTTTTGTTACCTGGTGGGTCCCTTTGACAGGGCCGTTCAGAATGGGACCCATAGACATAATCTTTTTTTACCAAGACTTTAAGTAATACAAAACAATCAATAGAAACCAAACAACTATTTTAAAGGAATTTTATTTTAGATTTTGTTTTCGAATTGCAGTGATTCTATTTTTGACATAGAATTTAATGCCACTCCATGTCCGATGTCTAAGGTCATCT